GCCCAGATACGCCTTCCGAATTTGCCTGCAGAGACCCCTTCTTGGAACTGATTGATCCACTCTGTGAAGGTGCTATTTAAGAGACTGAGCTGAAAACAGCACCTCAGACTGAGGAAGTCTCTTGGATGAGAGACGAAACGTTTCTAGATTTTTTTGCTTTGTTTTGTTTTTTGTTTTTTTTTAATGTCCAGAGGACCAGATTGAACTTTTTTGGGTTCTTTATTTATGTTTTGAATTGTCATAAATGTTACGAAAACATTATTTACAAGCTGTTCCATGAACAATGAGCTCTACCCGATAAAGAATTAGTCTTTCTATGAATTATTAGTTGTTTATTTACTTTATACTCAGTTTTTTGTCCTACGTGTGGCCTGACTCACCAGGACTGAGACGATCCTTCTATGCAGACGATCATCTGATTTATTTGACTTCCCTCCAGCAGCCCTCTGTTTGTTTGTGTGCTTCTAATTGTTTGTTTGTTTGTTTGTTTGACTACGTGATCCGGTGACTTTTCCCACAGTTGTCACAGCTGTCAGCTAATGATGTATCGACCTCATGATAAGATAAACAGATTTTCAGACACGCTGTACAAAAAAAACTGTAGGCGTAAACTCTGTCTCTAACCCTGACCGGATTCACTTTCTGAGTACTCGTTTCTCAAATGTTTTTAGAGAAGGGTTTATTTTGGGACCTTTGCTGACAGAGATCGTTTGCACTAAATATCTTAAACTGACATTCAAGTCAAGACTCTTTCTTTTTGTCAATAAGCTGATTTCACCACCTCATCCATCCATTTTCTTTTACCTGCTTCTTCTTTCTATGTTGCGAGGAACTGGTCACTAACCAGAAGTCTCTGTGTGAGAGGCGGGGGACATCCTGGACGGATCCCAGGTCCATCACAGGGACACATGGAGACAAACGAGACAACCACTCAGACACTCACATAGGGACAATTTAGAGTTACCAATTAACCGAACACGCATATCTGAGGGAGGAAACCGGAGTACCCAGTGAAACCACGAGTGCACGAGGAAAACATGCAAACTCCATTCAGAAAGGTCTTCGGCCAGGAGGCAAACCTGCAACCTTTTCTCTGAGAGCTACAACCACTGTTCCACTGTGCCACTCCAACCTCAACCAACAAGCACATAAAATGGTCAAGACTTTAGTTCCACATGCCACCATAAGAAGGGGGGGCGTATTTGACTGTAACACATGATCAAATGCACTCAGTCATCTTTTACTTTTGTTGTGTCTGCTGCCATTTTTTACTGTGGCTTACACAAAATATTTAACCTCAGGTAAATTTCCATCCTTCTATCAATTTCTTTTCTTTCCTTTGCTTTTTCGTGCCTGGTTGCGGGGTGCCGATCTCCACGGCAGTAAAATATGCAACTATCTGCACATCAGTGGTACCAGCAGGCCTGGTTGTCTGTAGCATTCCTCTCTGTCACTTCCACGTTGTTTCACAGAACAAAGTGTTGCCCAACTGCAGTCAGCTGATAAATATCCCTGTTCGTACATTTCTGGCATTTAACTGTGACACGTCTGTTTGCAAGATTGATGGTTTTTCCTCCACAGCGTCTAAATATGGCACCATGAACTCACTGAAGGAAACGATAGTTCAACAAGTTCACTGCACAGAACCGAAGGTGACGCAGTTCTTCTGTCGACCACTTGTTGGTGCCAGAGCTAGCTAGGATGCTAACATTAAAGTCATTTCACTGAGCGAGGGATCAAAGACTTGTCCGGTTTAAAACGTAACTGAATGACTTTTCTGTGAAGTACAATTGGTAAGACCGTTCCACTGCTGAACAACCGTTCTCACCGTAGAACCATGGACTCCAAATTCTTCTTTAACTTTTCCAAGATTGATGGGCTTCAACTGTTGCTTCTCTAAGGTCATTGCTGATGTCTTTCCAGCTTGGTCACACTGATAATAATCACTTAAGACGTTTGATCAGCCGCACCTGGATAAAACTTTCCCTTCTTAATCCTTTACACGCAGCCAGTATGGACTTTGTTTCTTTGACATTTTAATGACAAGTAGAATAAAAAAAATGACAAACACAAGTTTATTGGACATGAAACAAACGTGCTACATCTCAGCTATAACCCAATGACGGATCAATAAAACAAACACAAGTCACAGTCGGACAGTGTCGGTAACTCAAACACGTATCTGTCGTAGCATCCACGTGTGGACGACTGTTCATCTGAAGTGCGTTCATGCTTCCGTCACGTTTCGTTTCATCAAATGGTTCTTGTGGACCTGAGCGTAGCTGTTGCTGCTGGCCCTCTTCAGGTGGTACACCACCTCGGCTGCTTCGTCAGACAGAACCTGATGGAAAACAACGGGGATCACTGACCAACCCACGTGACCGAGGAGCTGATGGGGCTTTTTCAAACTGGTGCGATTTATTTAGTTTTCGATTCTGAAGTAATGAAATTACTAGAGTCTTTGTTAACTTTACACAGTAACAGATCTTTTGAGGGAAGCCTGCTGGCTTTACGTCTATATTTACAAGGAGGTGACACTGGAATCACATCTGGTTTTGGCACCTTAAGTACACCTAAAAAATGAAAAAGCTCTCAATAACTTTTAGCAGAACTTTAGAAAAAAGTGTTCGATGTTCTTGATAGGTATTAAGCTCACACGTTTTATAAATGGACACAAAGTGGTACTTTTGAAAGCAAAACATTTGTTTTCTGCCGTACTGCTCGGTAACAACTTGGGGTATGGCAAGTTGTTCTTCATCTATCTTTGATAGCATCCCTCTGAGTCAAAAAATAAAATTTCCAGTAAAAAAAGAGAAACTTAAGTTATCTAAAATAAATTAAAATTTATTTTCTACTAGTCAAAGTTTACATATCGAATCGCCATGACTGAGATTAGACAAAAAAGTTAATGTCATCAATCAGAAGAACAATGTTTCTTATATTGTTGATATATATTTTTGATATTATTAATAATGTTTGAGATAAATTAAATATTGATTGTGGATAAGAACAGTAATTTATTTATTTATTGACTAGGAAGAATTCAGTTTTAGACATCTACTCTGAATATCTCGCCAAACTCTTATATAATGCAATAGCTTTCCATACGCCTGTAAATGAAGATAAATTAAAGTAGCTAAAATCAAAATGATTTAAAAGCTTTCTCCTGTTTAAACATTTAAAAAAATAAACTTGTTTAGATATAAGATTACCTGCGAGTCTGTTGTGATGTCGTCACAGATTGTTGTCATGGTTTTCATCCAGTTACCGTAGATACTCTCATTTTTTTGGATTGGCCTCGATTTACTGGATCGCAGAAAGAGACAGGATCCAATCAGAGACAACCAGAACTAAAGATCCAACTCGATATTTAACCGAAGGTTAGCATCAATGTTTAACCTAAGACCGTTATTTGTTTGTAAATTACTTTGGAGTCTACGATTGGAGCACTTTAGCACCAAATCTTATTAGTTTAGGTCCGAGACGGTTAAGTAAATTATCAAAAGGTTCGGTGTCTCATACCTGATCTGTCTGAGCAGGTCTTGTTGTGCTTTTAGCTGCTTCTGTGCCTCTTGGACCCGACCCTCCATGGTCAAATTGGCACAGAGCTGAGCGCAGTGAACACCAAGCACCGCCGTGTTGAGTCTTCCTGGAAGAATCCGACTTCAGACAAAAACAGACAGGATGAAGTCAATGATCTCTACGGTGCACTGGCGTCGGAAGCATTTGTAATGTGTTTGTGTGTGTGTGTGGGGGGTGGGGGTGGGGGGGGGACACTGGTGGGGGAGTCTGGGGGTCTTCCCTCAGAAAATTTTCAATAAAGTAGATGCCATTTCCTGCATTCTGGTGTATTTTAACAGGTTTTTAAACATCTACGTTTACATAAGTAAACACTTGATTCAATAACCATTATAGAGAGCAACAAGAAGTAGCCTGACCAACAGCTCTCCTTGTTTGAATAGAGCATGCTCCGCTTCTCTCACACATCCTAACCTCCCACCTCGTTCAACAACTGCTGGCACTAATGTAGCGCTAAGCTAGCGGCACACGATACAGACTAAGATGCTACAGTCATAGAGCTCAGCTTCTTTCACGCATACTAATCCCCCCACCCCGTCGACAACTGCCGGCACTAACGTAGCGCTAAGCTAGCACACAACACAGAGGTGTCTCCCCCCCACCCTGTCCATAAATGTCCCAAAGAGATGACCCTGCCAAGCCAAGCAACTTAGAGGAAACTGTGCGCGGTGTGTTGAGTTGTTGTAGGTAACCAGGAAAACCTGGAGTGGACTTTTAGTGGTTTGAGTATTCTCCCATTGATCAAGAGGAATGGATTCGTTCATGAAGAAATAGAAACAGAACTGGGTGAATTAATATTTCATGGTAAATGTGTGGGGGTCCAAATGAATATATTTTTTTTACTGTGATGGGGACACGTCTCCTTAACATATAATTGTTGTGACAGATATGCTGTGGTGAACACAAAGACAGCAGCTGAGGCTCATAAAACGTGGCGGTTGATAAATAAAAAAAGGTTTTACCTTTTCGTCATTACAGGTCGCTGCTCCGTGATAATGCGAGTGATTCTTTGCTGGTCTCTGGTCTTGAAGCTCAGCTGCAGCTGGAGCGGGACGGTGCTCCTCCGGAGAAAAGCTGACAAACAAACATGAGTTGTAGCGCGTCTCTAGTTAGTTAAAGTCAAATGAGATTTTTGTTCATAAATAATTTCTGTTTGTTTTCCATAAATTTATGTGGCAAACTTACTTTCCGTAAAATCTGGTTTTACAGCAAACTGGAAAGTGATCTCCAGCCCCTTTGGTACGTTTCCTATCTCTCTCACCAGTTTGTGATGGTTGTCGTCTTCAAAGGGAAAATAGCTGCAGAACAAAAACAGATGAGACATGAATCATTATAAAAAGTGTTTTTCTTTTTCATGTTAGACGTGCACAAATCAGACAAATGCAATGCATGTGCATGAAAAGGGAACCGAAACGAAAGTAATTATTGTGCACTGTATACTTATCAGCCACAACTTTATGACCACCCTAATAATAAATGGGTTTTACCAACTCCATCTTCTACTTCCTATCTGTGGTTTGGCCACAGAGGGAATAGCTCGAGGGGAGAATCCCGGACCTCCCTCTCCCCACCGACCTTCTCCATCTCCTATTGGGTGATTCCAAGGTGTTCCCAGACCAGACACAATGTATAATCCCTGCTGCGAGTTCTGGGTCTGCCCTAGGGCCTCTTTCCAGACATGCCCAGAAAACCTCCAGAGGGAGGCATCCTGATCAGGAGCCTGAAGCACCTCAACTGACTCCTTTCGATGCTCCCCCTGCATGACAAAGTTCCTCACCCTGTCTCTAAGGCTGAGCCCGGCCACCCTTTAAAGGAAGCCACTTGCATCAAGGATCTTGTTCCTTTGGTCATCATGAACCAGACTTCATGACCAATAGGTTCATATGTGAGGCTGTGATGTAGACGGACCAGTAAATTGAGAACTCCACCTTTCGACTCAACTCCTTCTTCGCTATGACCGATCAAAGCAACACCCTCATTACTGAGGATGAGGCTCAGTCCATCTCTGGCTCCATCCTACCATCACTCAGGAACAAAATACCCAGATAGCTGAACTCCTCCACCTGAGGCAGGCTCAACCCTGATCTGAAGGGGGCATTCCACCTGTTTCCGCTTTGAACCTATTTAAACTTTCTTCTGCAAAAGAACCCCAGTGTAGAGCTGGACTTGTCTTAGATCTTAAAAGTTCTGTTGTGGTGTTTGCCTTGAAGCCATCAGTAACAAGCTGAAGTCCTTCAGGTTGTGGAGTTGCTGGGTGGCTCGAACATAGATCAGACTTATTTGTCCAGTAAATTTACTAGATGCTCAATCATGTTTTGTACCTAAAGATTTGGAGGCCAAGTAAATGAATCAAACTTGCATTTGTGACCCTTATTCTTTCTGGAACCATTAAACAAGCCCAACTCCATTACCTCCATCAGTGAATACTTTTCCAAGGAGTGTACCTTGTCAGCAATGAAGTAAGTTTAGGTTGGTAGAACGTGCCAAAATCCAAATGATGAGGAAGATTTTTGGTTTTACAGCACAACTTTACCATTGGTACCATTGGTTTTCCTATTTTGGAACCTGGTCCAACTTCTAAGACAGAATATTTACTTGCAGCTCAATGACCTCCACCTTATTGGCTTTTTAAAGTATTTTCCACTTTACCTTTGAGTGGTCATAATGTTATGGCTGACTGGTGTAAATGATAAAATAACGAAAACCTTCAGGTTTTGACTTCAGTCTGCACTCACACTCCATCAGGAGCGAGCAGGGTCAAAGTGACGCTTGTTGCTAAGACGTTGTCCACAGAGATGGACTGGATCTCCGAGGCCACGGTACCGATGCTGACGATGTTCACCTGAGCAGGAAAGGACAGAAGTTCAGAAGGTTGGGACACCATCGCAGGTTTTAGATGTTTTCCCAAGTGTATTTACAGGCAACATTTAGTTTAAAGAATGAAGGATGGTTCAACACTTTTCTTCAAGGACTTTTTTTGTAGATGTGTGTTTTCATTCCAGCGTTGCTGAATGTTTTTGTGTCTGAGTCTCACCCGTCCCCCAGTTGCGTCAGCCAGCCTCCCAATGTCAGCCAAGCGACAATCTGTCCCCTTAAAGCTCATTATCGAGATTATGACCCTGAAAAGAATAGTTAAATAATCATTGGACTAGTTTTAATGTACCATTTCAAATCCTTTTGTTTTTTGTTTCATCACAGAGCTGATTGCGTCCTCACTCTTTCTCCATGGCCTGCAGCGCCAGCTGTCTGTAGAAATATGGGGTCTGGGTCAGGGAGGACAGAGACGGGCTTTGTTCCATATCGCCAAGTCCGATGTTGGCTCTGCCGTCGGTGCACAG